ATTTAGGGTTTATGGAACCCATTTGGTGATTAGATGGATTATTACCTTGTTACCCGAACGACTATAACCCTGTATTAGGAGCTTTAGAGGTCCAGAAGGTCCCATGCTTGTGTATTTCGGGACAATACTTATCTCAGGAAGCAGTTTGATCGACTGCATGGCATGGATTCGCCGAGTCCAATGAACAGACTCGGCGAGTAGCTTGGAGATTGACTGGGACTCGTCGAGCTGTTCTTCAGACTCGGCGAGTGGAGTCGGGGTGGCCCCGCGATTCTTCCACGAGGATCTCGTCGAGCCAAGAGGGATACTCGACGAGTAGAAAGGGAACATCAAGGAAAGTTGGGGAGGACGTCTAGACTCGCCGAGTCGCCTTTGCACTCGCCGAGTCCGGTCAAGTTGACCGTTGACCGTTGACCAGAGTTGACCTACATGTAATTTCTTAGGGTCAGTTGTCTTGAATGATTAGAGTATTAATAAGGGGTATATGGTATTATAGGGTGTCTGCAGCTCGGCGGATCGAGTGCGAGTGATTTCAAGAGTTGCTAGTTTTCATTACCCACGAGGTGAGTCTTCTCACTATACTGTACCCGGAAGGGTTTGACTGTGTGACCGGAAGGTCGGATATGATATGTGTTATATATGCTATAAATGGAAAGGTAGTTGCTATGCGTGCTATGTATGTTTATATGGGCCGGAAGGCAATATGTTATGTGACAGAAAGGTCAGGTATGATATATGATATATGTGCTATATGTGTTAGGGTAAATGTATTATGTGATGTATATGTTATGGGCCGGAAGGCAATACGTTACGGGCCGGAAGGCAATATGTTATGGGCCGGAAGGCGATTATGTTATGGGCCGGAAGGCGTTGTGTTGTAGACCGGAAGGTCAGGGCCTAGAAAGGCGTGTATGTGTAAGTCGTATACTGGGGAACTCACTAAGCATTTATGCTTACAAGTTGTTATGTATGTGTTTCAGGTACTAGCGAGGACCGTGGGAAGGCGTCGGCGTGATGCGTACATACTGTTCTTGTTTGAGATCTTGGGGGTTTATTTATTGTATTTTGATATGAAACTTGGAATAATTATAATTGGTTGAATAAAATCACTTTATTTTAAATGAAAAATTTGTTTGAAAATTTGCGTTGTTACACATTGAGTTAAGAGTTATTTGCATGGCCACATTCACATTGCAAAGGTACTTTCGCTTTCTCGTAACCATCTACGCACTTCTCCATCACTTTCACATTCATCAATACAACCCTTGAGACTCTTATCAATTACCACTGAAGTTTATAGTTATGCAAACATCTGTGTTAGTGGTCTTAGTTTCGTTCTACCATGAACTGAGTGAAACCCAAAATTCAATACCCACAATGGATTAATGGTGAACAATCACATGTTCTAGCTTTCACCCAAGAATTAACAAAACCCCTTTCGTGGGAGGTACCATGATATCTCTTTTAATTTTTTTTTGCGTGATCTTTATGAAATTGTCTAGCACCGAGACTTTTCTACCGAAGAGTTCCATTTTTTTTTTTTTTTTTTTTTTTTTTTTTTTTTTTTTTTGAGATTTCAATATTATTCCAAGTCAATTACAATAAATTCCCAACCTACTCATTCAACTGACTACACTTGTCACACGAGTACCTTTTCCAACTTTCACACTTATGTCGAGTTTGTAGTTTGGTTAATGGATAGACCTCCTTTACCAGACTTAAATAAAATATGCCTTTCAATGTTTCTCATCAAACAACTGATCGTATTGAACAAGAAACCGAACAAACACTTCTTAGTCTCTCTTGACTATGAAGGAAGAGATCTTTGTCTGGGATCAACAATTTTATGTTATATACATGACATTACAACATCCCACAGATAAACTTTGTTTTCTTTCTTTTTAATTGACACTCTTGCACGGAGATCCTTGTGATGTTCAAAAGTCTAGTTCATGGTTCTCTTTAAATGTTAGGTTCGTAGTCATATGCACTCAACATGATTTCCTTACTGCGAAAGAAGATAGGCTGACGCGACAATTCTAAAAAAGGATCAGAAGTCAAAAGGGCGCATGAAAATTTGTACGGACAACTATTCTTATGCCACGTGACGCACGTCTTTAGCTTGTCATAGCTGTCAAATTGCGCTTTTTTAGGCGACAGATTAGTTCTCGATGTTCTCTCTCTAGACTTCTCTCACCAAATCAAATCGTATAAAAGGAATTTGATAGTTCATTGTTTCCTTACCACTTTCAAAATTCTCTCAAAGTTCTTTGGTGATTCAAAGTCTCTCCACTGTTCATCTTCTTCAAAGCTTCATCAATGGCGGCTTCTTCTGAAAATCAGTCTGTGCAAGATTAAATCGTTCATTCCACACTACTTTATGTGAAGCAACATCATAACCTCGTCATTGATTTGAATCCAGTAAAGTATGATGCTTTTCTTATACCTCTGATCGAGTGCCTGAAGTACTCTCCTCTCACGATTGCAATGACTCAAGTTGAGAATGTCCCTCTGTCGATTTTATCCAAAGCGTATACTATTGCCAACTATGTCAAAGACGAGCAAAAGATTTTTTTTGGCATCCATAATCACACCACATCCATTTCCAAGAATCGTTTCCGCAATCTGCTATGGCTTCCACAATCTAAAAATCTGATCAATCCGGAAACCCTCTCCAACGCAACCATCTTGGAAATGTTCTATCAAATGGGTTACAAGGAGACACTCACTATTGTATCCAAGTTCAAGAAACCCAATCTTCCTCCAATGTGGAATGCCCTTTTTCACCATTTTATTCAAATCCTTTTCTGAAAGAGTCACATGCAACGAGTGTGCAAGCAAACTCTTCATGGGGCTGATATATGGCCTTTACACTAGTGAAAACATCGACTACAGTTCTATCCTTTGGGCTCAATTAAACCAGAGCACTCACTCTGTAACTCGTCACAGTGAGATATCCTGTGCAAGATTTTGGACTGTAGTTGTCAACAGGGCTATTAAACAGCACACGATTACGATGATGACTGATGCACTGATGGCTTCCATTGCGACATTCTACACAACAAGGATTATCATGGCAGATAGGTCCAAGTTTGATTTATCGGTTCCATTCTGGAGGCAATGTTTCGTGATGTTCCTCCCTCAAGTAAAATTCTAGAAGGACATCGTACCCTTACTCCTTTAGGGCCTCATCCTCTCATTAATGAATTACAATCCATTTTGGCTGAGGATGATAAATCCATGAAAGGGGGCAAAGGGTCTAAGAGACCTACCAAGAAAGATTCTGCAAAAGAAGGATCTTTTGTGGCTCTGAAATCTCTATCTCAGAAAAGAAAAGCTTCTACAACTTCTACTGCTTCACCTAAACGAAGGAAATAACCTACAATGTTAAGTATTTCAGTGTTGCGTCTTGGGCTTTTTGTTTTGTAATCAGATTGGGCTTGTTCATCTGTAGTTATCTAGAATAGTTTCCTTTTATCTAGATAAGTTGTTAGGGTTTTATTATAAATATATGCATGCATGTATGCGTATAATATAGAATAGTCGATTACGTTGATTCTGGTAACCCTAATATACCTCTACAGATTGAAGTTCTTTATCGAGCTCTTTTGGGGTATCTTTACATTAATCATTCGACATATTTAGTGCAATTCTTGTGTTCTTCATTACGTTCTTATTTATATTTTGCTTAGAATCATACGATCCTGATAGAACATTGTTCTAACAATTGGTATCAGAGCAGGAGATTGTGTTGATCAATACACTTTACTTCTGTATTCACAAATATTTAGGGTTTCCTCTTTTATCGAAGCCGTCGTCTTCTTAACGACGACTACTCAGCTTTTGATAAAACCCTAATCTCAAGTTTACAGGTAAGATTCTAGCAGCTCACCATGTCTCACGACGATACGCATACAAACCCAATTAACATCTCAAACAGCATCAGATCTACAACTGGAGTTCCCATACTCTACACTCAAGACTATGAAGTATGGGCTCACCACTTTGAAGATTACGTGGTTGGATCTGAAGATAATGGCTATCTCATCTGGGAAGCTATCGTTCTTGGACCGTTTGTGCATTCCGAAACAAACACGATCGTCAAGACACAGAAAGATTACAACAAGTTGGTGACAGATGTTCAGAAGATGCCACAAGATGAGAAGGACAAGATCCTGTGTAATGTTAAAGCCATGTGAATGATAAGACTCGCCTTACTATCTGACACCTTTCGGCTTGTAGGCTCATGCACAAATGCTAAGGAGATCTGCGATAGGTTAAAGGAACTCTACTCAACTGATGAAGATTTGAAACACTCCATTCAAACTCTGTTGCTGTCAGAATTTGGTGGTTTTGAACAGAAACCTGAAGAGAAGCTCATTCAGAACTTTGATCGGTTCAATAATCTTTTAAGTAAGATGATCAAGCATGGAATTGAGAGGAAGCTGATCGAACAGAAAGTTACAGTCATGAACGGGCTCAGACCAGAATGGATGGCTATGGTTTCCACCACTACTAGAAAAACAGCCTTTTACGAAGCTCATTGCGCGTCGTAAAAGGCTCAGACGATGTGCAAATGCGCGTCAAGGAAGGCCCTGTCATAAAGAGAGACGACGCGCTTTTGCGCGTCGTTTATAGACGAAGCGCAATTACGACGCGCGTTTACGACACGCAATGCGTATCAAGGAAGGCACTGTCATAAAGGAAGACGACACGCATTTGCGTGTCGTAACCTTACGACGCGTGTGTTAATGACACGCAATGCGCATCAAGAAAGCCCCTGTCAAGAAAGGCCATGTCATAAATGAAGATGACACACATTTTTGCGTATTGTAAATTTAAAATTTAAAAAAAATATATATTTATATATTTATTAATTTTTAAATTAAATTTGCATTTAATGTGTCATAATAGAAATAAAATACCATATACAAAAAAATACAATCCATTGAATAAACTTTAATGTCATACAATTCTATTTCTTACAATATATAAATTTGCATTCATCTACTCTACTCTATGTTTCATACTAACAATTGAAATGAAGAATACAACACTTGCATTTTCAGCATCTTATCTCTTTCGGCTTGAGCTTTCTTTTCCACTTCTAACTCGAGAGCTATTCGCTTTCATCAACCCTGTAAACACAACACAAAATCACTTGTCATTTTCATTCGCTTTCCAATTTCCGTTGTGTGTTTAAACAATGACAATCAAAATGACAAGAATACCCTCATACAAATTGTAAATATTACCTGTAAATCTATCAACAATGACAACTCTTGATCCTATGAACTAGAGAGTATATCATCACAATTCCATCTAACACCACCCATAAGAACCCGTAAAGCTATCAACAATGGTAATCCCTGTTTCAATTCTTTTTTATAAAGGTCATTTTTTTATAATGTTTATGAGTTATAAATACGTGTGTGTATGTTAAGGTGTTTTTTTTTTTCTGTTATACACAAACAGCAACACACATGCACACACATAAAAAAAGTAACAAATAAATGATGTTTTGCGAAATATAGCATTATCCTTTCATAGCAGTGTACTTTAAGTTTTTGTCAATTATAGCATTGAACTTTTGTTCTCTCTCTCTCTCTCTCTCTATATATATATATATATATATATATATATATATATATATATATATATATATATATGGTTAGAAATAACCATAATATGAAACTTGCAAAGAGAAAGAGAAAAAGTCAACTCACTTGGTCAATTGCAAAATGAGCAGGTTTATCTTTTACAAGAGACAACTCATCCCTCAAGCGAACCACCACTCCAACAGAAGCATGTGTGGTAGTGATTCTCGTTTGAACCAAATCATATAAAGATGAACCTTCAGGCATTGCTACTGAATCTGCATCCTTCATCCTCCCAACAACAGCAGCTTCACCAAGTGGAATGGGATAAGATATCTTACAAGGCAGCTTCATTAGAGATGATTCGTTGTATTTCAAGAAATCCTGTAAATTAACAAGAAATACATATGATTTATTAACTTGTCAATTGCATGTTGAAAGAAGTTTTGTAACTAAACGACCAACTAAAACATTAACATGAACGACTTTTATCATGGAAAGCAACACTTTAAGGCACGAATCATCATCATGACTGTACTTGTAACACTGATTTTTCAAACAAAAAAATTTCAATTTTTATATAACATAACTCCATTAGTATTCATAAAAACACCCATTTTACTTGTTCAATAAAACAGTACAAAATCCCAAGATCAACATGTAAAACTCCAAACGTGTGTGTACGGATCAAGCCGGCGCCTTCCCGCGGTCGTCACTAACACCTGAAACAAATAACATCAACACTGTAAGCACAAAGCTTAGTGAGTTTCCCCAAAATACCACATAAAACACATATTAGGCACTCGAGGCTATAACTCTGTGGGTCCGTGCACCCAAACTCTGTGAACCCTCAGGTTCTAGCTCTGATAAACATGCACCACATAAATCACATATAAATCATGCAGTACAACACATAACATACATAGCATACAAATACTCTAACACATAACTCTGGTTACCTACTCAAGGTAAAGTATAGTGAGGAGACTCACCTCGTGTGTCTCGGTAATTCGTAACCCTGAAATCACTAAACACCCGATCCGCCGAGCTGTAGTCCCCCTATAGCACAATACATCTCTAATTAACACTCTCCCAATCTAGAGTTGATCACACTATAACAAATCACTCTTGGTCAACGCTGGTCAACGGTCAACTTTGACCGGACTCGGCGAGTGCACTATGGCGACTCGGCGAGTCCGTGCGCATGCACCAACTTCCCTGGAATCCTCCCTTGACACGTCGAGTATTTCCCCCAACTCGACGAGCTCCACCTGGCACGAGTTGTGGGGCCACCACGACTCAACTCGCCGAGTCTCAAGAACAACTCGGCGAGTCCAGTTTGACTCGGTCCACCTGTCCATCCTGACTCCCCCTTTGACCCACTGAGTTCACTCATCCCAACTCGGCGAGGCCACTCACTGAGTGGTCGTGCAACATTCAAGCTACTCGCCGAGTCTGTTCTTCGGACTCGGCGAGTCCATGCCATGCACTGACTCAATCTTGCTCAAAAGGCCAGATCCAGTCCACTAATCCATAGATCCAGTCCCCCCATGCTTATTTAGCACGTAAAGTCACAATCTTGATGCATAAATATCCTCTACATGACCACAAATGATGATTTTGACTCTATTACTTCAACACAAGGCCAAGGACTCCATTTTCACCATAAAGCTTGATGAGTGAGGCCCTCTGGACCTCTATGGATCCAGATCCATGGTCTCAACTCAAAGAGGGAGTGAAAAGGACACCAAATCACCCCAAAATGATCATATTAAGCCCTAACTTGCATCAAGTTCATCAAACAGGAAATGGTCCGAAAATAATACCTCTAGAGTGATGATCCAAGCTCCAAATCCACGAAATAGCAACCTCCTTTGCTTCCTCTTGCCTAGAGCCTCCTTCTTCTTGCTAAACAACACTTACAAGGTCAAGATTTGCTCTCAATCCTTCACCAAACGCTCAAGAACTCTAGGGACACACTCTGGGGGTTGGATGAGCGCAAATGACGGCCATAAGGCCCTTTAAATAGGCCACAAACCCGGAGATTTAGGGTTTCACTACACAGCGCAGACTCGCCGAGTCCATACCTTGGACTCGCCGAGTCCAAGCGCGCACCTTCGCTCAATCCCGCGTCTCTACTCGGCGAGTCTGAGCCCCGACTCGCCGAGTCCCTCTACAAAATAACATAATTAAACTTTCATTATACCTGGTAAAAATCCGGATGTTACAACTCTCCCCCACTAGAACTGGACTTCGCCCTCGAAGTCCCGCTCTAAAACAGCTCCGGATGCTGCTCCCGCATCATATCCTCCGGCTCCCAGGTCATCTCTGATCCCTTCCGATGTTGCCACTGAACCAATACCAGAGGTACCTCCTTGTTCCTCAAAACCTTGATTTCCGATCCCTAATAGCCACTGGTCTCTCCGCATAGTTCAGGCTTGCATCAACCTGAATATCCTCAAGTGGAACCACTGCCGACTCATCGGCTATACATTTCCTCAACTGCGATACATGAAAAGTGTTGTGAATCTGTCCCAACTCTGCTGGTAACTCCAGCCGATAGGCTACCCGGCCCACCTTGGCGATCACCCGAAACGGGCCAATAAACCGGGGTCCCAATTTACCCCTTTTCCTGAACCGGATCACTCCTTTCCAAGGAGAGACCTTCAGGAGAACAAAGTCGCCGACTTGAAATTCCAACTCGGACCGGCGCCTATCCGCGTAACTCTTCTGCCGGCTCTGAGCGGTCAATAACCTCTGCCTGACCAGCTGTATCTGCTCTGTCGTCTGATTCACGATCTCTGTACTGCCCATTACCCTTTGCCCAACCTCTCCCCAACATATGGGAGTCCGACACCTCCTACCATATAACAGCTCAAAGGGCGGCATACCAATGCTCGAATGATAGCTGTTATTGTAGGAAAACTCCGCTAGAGGCAAATACGAGTCCCAACTACCCCCAAAATCCAATACACAAGCTCGAAGCATGTCCTCGAGTGTCTGTATCGTCCGCTCACTCTGACCGTCGGTCTGGGGGTGGTATGCGGTACTAAAATGCAGCTTAGTACCCAATTCCTCATGAAATTTCTTCCAAAAACGGGAAGTGAACCGCACATCGCGGTCTGAAACAATCGAGACCGGCACCCCATGCCGAGATACAACCTCTCTCACGTAAATCTCTGCCAATTTCTCCGCTGAAGAACTCTCACTGATGGCCAGAAAATGAGCGCTCTTTGTCAACCTATCCACGATCACCCAAATTGCATCAACTCCTCTGGCAGTCCTCGGCAATTTGGTGATAAAGTCCATAGTGATCTGTTCCCACTTCCACTCGGGAACCTCCAATGGCTGCAACTTGCCATGCGGTCTCTGATGTTCGGCCTTTACCCTCCGACAGGTCAAACACCTCTCGACAAACCATGCTACATCCCTCTTCATACAGGGCCACCAATACTCCTTCCTTAGGTCCAAATACATCTTCGTGGCCCCGGGATGGATCGAAAATTTCGATCTATGAGCCTCCTCCATCAATGTAACACGGGTACCGCCCACAAACGGTACCCAGATCCTGCCCTGATAAGTCATAAGGCCTCGACTATCCGATATAAACTCAGAAACCATCCCAACAACCCGCTCCCTCTTCTGCATCTCCGGACGCACGGCCTCGGCCTGAGCCCCACGAATGGCGTCCAGAACTGGAGCTATCACGGTCAGTCTCAAACATACATCTCGCAGGGGAGCACTCTCCGCCCTGCGACTCAACGCGTCGGCTACCACATTAGCCTTGCCCGGGTGGTACAAGATCTCACAATCATAGTCCTTGACCACATCTAACCATCTCCTCTGCCGCATATTTAAGTTAGGCTGATCCATCAAGTACTTCAAACTCTTATGATCCGTGTAAATCGTACAACGAACCCCATACAAGTAGTGCCGCCAAATCTTGAGGGCGAACACCACTGCCCCCAACTCCAAATCATGTGTGGGGTACCTCGTCTCGTGAGGCTTCAACTGCCTCGATGCATAAGCTATCACATGACCCTTCTGCATCAATACCGCTCCCAATCCTAGGATCGATGCATCACAGAATACCACAAAACCTTCCATACCTTCCGGAAGGGCTAATACTGGGGCTTCACACAACCTTTGGCGAAGCGTCTCAAAGGAGGTCTGCTGCTCGGGACCCCATGCAAATGCCACACCCTTCCGGGTCAACCTGGTGAGTGGAACCGCAATCTTGGAGAAATCCTTAATAAATCTCCGATAATACCCCGCCAACCCGAGAAAACTCCGTATCTCAGAAGGTGACCTCGGCACCTCCCACCTCATCACTGCGTCAACCTTGGCCGGATCGACCAATATCCCCTTCTGGTTAACGAGATGTCCCAGAAACTGGACCTCCCGTAACCAGAAATCGCACTTGGAGAACTTTGCGTAAAGCTTCTCCGCTCTCAAAACCCCAAGCACCTCCCTCAGATGCTCCTCGTGCTGCTCACTAGATCTCGAATATACCAGAATATCATCAATGAAAACAATCACCGACCGATCCAACATCGGCCGACATACCCTGTTCATGAGGTCCATGAACACAGCCGGGGCATTAGTGAGCCCGAAAGGCATCACCACAAACTCATAATGCCCATAACGTGTCCTGAATGCTGTCTTCTGGACGTCCTCGTCCCGCACTCTCACCTGATGATAGCCCGACCTCAAATCAATCTTGGAGAACCAAGATGCTCCCTGTAGCTGATCGAATAAATCGTCGATCCTCGGCAGCGGGTAACGGTTCTTGACCGTCAGCTTATTCAATTCCCGGTAATCAATACACATGCGATGCGAACCATCCTTCTTCTTCACAAACAAGATGGGTGCTCCCCATGGCGAGCTACTCGGCCGAATAAACCCCTTCCCCAGCAACTCCTGAAGTTGCGAGGATAACTCCTGCATCTCTGGAGGCGCAAGGCGATACGGCACCTTAGCAATAGGTGCAGCCCCCGGAACCAAATCGATGCCAAACTCCACTTGCCTCGCGGGAGGCACTCCTGGTAACTCTTCGGGAAATACATCAGGAAACTCCCGCACCACCGGAACTTCCTCCACAGAGCTTGGTCTCTCGGAGATCACTCGCGTATCCATCACATACGCTACATAACCCTTACAGCCCTGCTGTAAACACTGCCTCGCCCTAGCAGCCGAACAAAAGGCTGATCCAGAACGTGTACCCTCGCCGTACACTGAAAGAACTCCCCCACTAGGATCTCGTATAGTCACCAGCTGTCGCTCGCAATCGATAACCGCACCGAATCGGCTCAACCAATCCATGCCCACTATAACACAAACATCACCCATCGCAA